TTTTTTTTTTTTTTTAATACTCACGTATGAAATCATTTCTTCATTCGTTCAGTCTTCTTTTATTTTTCCTCTTTTTAGTTACGTTACTTCGATTATTCCAGTTTGTCGAACGAACGTATTTTGCGTACGACATTTTTTCGAGGGAAGGATAATTTATTGTTGAATAAAGTCCGTTTTTTAAATCGCCTTGCTTTTTTTTTTTTTGGTGAATGATTTCGATTAGAAATTGCTGGAAGACCAACAGCCGTGAACGAAGAGCCGCGAGTGTTGGTTTTTCCAGGTATGCTTGCACGAAAAAAATCGATAGCTATTGGCGTTGCTAAATTTTTCATGCGTAACAAAGCAAAACCTGTAATCAGGTGTCCGTGACAGAGGCGTGAACCTTTAAAATCCCCCGCCTTTATGGAAACGTTCACGAGGGTGCATAAACGAAGAAGAAGCTCTCCATGTGAATTACTTTATCGCGCAACTTTATACTCGCGAATAGTTTATAACGTTCCCTGGAAATACGACAACGGAGTAACTCGTCCCGAAAAAAAAATTCTTTTCCGACGATCTGACTGACTTTTCTTTCCCCAGTTTCTTCGCAAATTCATTCGCTGAAGTCTACGAAACTGGAAAATGACATACGATGCTACAACTGGGCCATCCATCTCGTAGTCTGATATATATAAAAATCACAAAATCGCTCGGCAAGGGCATAATTACTGAAGTACGGTGGATCGAAAGAGTGGGAGAGGGAGAGGGAGAGAAGGGAAGAAAAGAATGGGGAGTCGGGTAGGTTGGTTAGGGTAGAATGGCGGTCGGATTCAAGCATCGGAGAAATCCGCATTCACGTAAAGGAGGATCAGCCGTGGAAAAGCATCTTACACCGAGTCTACGATACCTAATTCCCGGCAGTTCTTTGATATATATGCCCACGCCAGTTCGTTCTGTCGCAGCGAGAGAGAGTCTATACAAAGGGAGAAATAAATATCACGGTAATCTCGGATCCGCTATGTGGGACACACACATACACACACATACACGCGCGCGCGCGCGCGCGCCGGAGGAGATCTTCGACGACCTCGTCATCCGTGCACCCAGCCAGAAGTTCATTGGCAATGGTCGCTATTTAATGCGGGCCTATGTACGAACCTACGCGAGACTTTTGATTTTCGTTTTCCTCCGCATGATACGACAGCGAAGAGCATAATCAGCGGCAATGAAACATTAATTAAATAAGTGTAATTTAAATTGACGTAAATTTGTGAACCGCGAAGCCTCTACTTTGATAGAGATTTTTAATTTTACAATCATGCAACGGGTACTATCTTTTCCTCGAAAATTGTAAAAATTCGCTGCGTAAAAGTAATTTCTTTTTATGACTTTGAATATTGAAATTTCCTTTTTAGAACGACCCCTTAAAACTCGCTGTACGATTTTTTTTTTTTTAGGGTTAAAATGTTAGAATTTTATTTTTGATGTTCAATGAAATCGTACGAGTTTTAAGAGGAAATCTTAATCTTCAAAATAATGGTAAAATGTATCCACACTTTTCATTCCAGCACAGTGATGTAAAGTCCTCATCTTTGAAGAGGACGAGCTGTCAAAACAGAAGCTTCTTCGCGCTTTAAAATGAGACTAAATCTAAATTATCGACAATTTTTTATTGTCAATGGTACATTTATGCTCTTCACTGTACGAATATCTCGCAATTTTTAGTGAGCGATAAAAAGTATTTGGACACTAATCGCAGAATAAATATGTAATGTCATAATATATATATATTATACTAATATCCTTTAAAATTCCATCTACGATACACTGATAAAATTGAAAATTGATATTTCCATCAAACTATTTATTTGAAATTAATCACGGACGTGCGAGTGAACTCGCAAGAATTTGCCATTGAACGGAAAGGGCGAAGCCAGAGAACCTGACCGGTGAAAAGTTTAAAATGAAATCAACCAGCGAGAACGAGATTTGTCATTCGCGTGGAAATCGCTTTCACGGAGGGCACACGACGGCTTTGGTTTTATTTTATCTCGGGGTATTAGAGCACGATTGCCTTCGAAGCCGAAAATTGCTTTGACCCGACCCCAACCGTGTCTCTGTTCGTCACCAGACTTCATCCATCCTTCGGCCATTCTCGAAACATCCCCGTTGATCAATTGATTCTCTTGGCTAATATTTCTCTTCGGCTTCCAGTGGGATATTAACAAAAATCAGGGACGTGTTTGATTTGTCGAACGATCGTTAATATGCAGTAGTGAATGTGGGGACGTTGCCCTCCATCTTCATCATCATCTTCGACGAAATGAATTATCGTCCCTTTCTGTGAATTTGACACGTTTATAATAGACAATGTGTTTAGATAGATGTATTACTAATTTGAAGAATTTATATCGTACAGTGTGTAGAAGAAAATATTGTTTGCCTAACTAATTGATAAAATGGGACCAGGTTTAGTTAGTGAATTTGACTCGCGATCTCGCGATCTCATATTTCTATATTCCATCTAAATTACATTATACTGTTTTACACTCTTCTGGAAGGGAGCAACAGAAAGTAACTCGCTAATTATTTCAGGAAAAGTGTAATTAAAATTTCAGAAACGGTCAAGTTTGTCCTTAAGAGATTAACAGATCAAGTTATCATTTCACAGTCACACAGTTCGTATTTTCTATCGAAATTTTCACACTTCTTCTGCTCTCGCTAATTACATCAGCAGGAAACATTTCAATTGAAATCCTGGAAAAGAGAAAGAAAACACACACGAGCTTTCGGGACGATATTGCGAAAATGTTCTACCCCTTATGTGTTATCCCTTCTAGCCACTGTATAGTGCACGTATAACAGATTTGCGGGACGAGTACGTGAATCAAGGAGATATTTGGAATGCCCGAGGCGAAAATTTCTCTTCCGAGAAATCCAATGTGCCGAGGCGGAGCGGCAGTGGTTTCTGAGATGTGCTTTCCCAAAGCTTTTACAGTTATTATCCCACAGATGTTTGTCGTTTACGGGATATCGGGGCGCGATATTGTGGCACCGTGTGCTTCCTCTATGGCCGTCATTGTTTACCTAATGATAAAAGCACCGTTTTCTGTTTACCCAATCTCGCCTTTCAAATACGATTTTTCAAATACTGCCCGATCCCTATTCCTTTTCCTTCATTTACCTCCGTCACTTTCTTTTTGTGAAAGCTCACGAACACCTTTGTACCTTTGTACCTTGCAACAATTCTATCCATTAATCCTCATAAAATAAAATTTTATTTCAGACCAGATCTAAAATGAATAAAATTTAGATCTACTAAAAATTAAGGGACTAGACAGAGGTTAGAAGCTTGAGTATACTTGCTAAAAGGAAAGGAAAATATTTTATATTTTAAAGAGTAATAACATCCGGAAAATCCCGCGTCCAACGCACAGGCAGAGCGGTTTTTCAGAAAATTTGTCGAACCGACACGGGAAGGAAGGAACACCGTAGGAGCAAGCCTCGCGTAACGCACACACAGCCACGGAGATAGATACGTATGACACGGCAAGGGGGAGCTTCCCACGGGAGAAAGCGATTCTGAAAATTCTTCGAAGACACGTCGATAAAAGGACTACGCTGCTACACTCTGGAGAGCCCTCCTCCTCCCTCTTTCTCTCTCTTTCTCTCTTACGAACGCTTTCTTATCCATCGCGCCGGGGAAATTGTATTTCGATCCGGCGGAATAGCAAAGCGAAGATGACAAAGTCACGAGAGAAAAATTACGAAATTGCTTGCCGTGTGCCTGCACCAGTGTGGCTGGCGTACTCGGATACTTGGCGTCAGAGGTGTGTCTAACCTTTCTCGAATCGTAGCCTCTTCTCTCCTCTCGTCGATCGATCTGCGATAGAAGGAGGAGAACAAGAGCGAAGATTCCACTTCGAACAATTCGACCATCAGCGAATCTCTTCGAATCAGACGACGAACGTTCGTGAACGTGCGCTAGAAAACGCGTTGAAAATTGAATTTCTGGTGTCCCTCGAGGAGGAATCAGAGAAATGGAACCTAGGTAAAGTGATGTATCTCGTGACACGGGATATCTCGCTTGCAATTGATCGTCCGAATTATTCTGTCGAGGATTCGCAGACTATTTCTTCGAACTTTCTTACCGATTAAGCCTTGTTACGCTTGCACAAAAGGACGAGGGAATTCACGTGCGATTTAAAGAGCCGATCACGGGGCCCCGCGCAGAAGAGCGGGAATTTTCGAAAAAAAAAATCAGCTTCGCGGATTTAATGGCCGGTTGATAGAAGGGGCGAGGGCGCGACAGATCTCTTTATTCGGCCGGCACAAAGGCACCGGCGCAGATTACAGAGCCAGCAATCCCTCCTCTATGGATTCTACGGCCATGCATTATGCCATTGCCGCACACGCGGCCAAGTAACGTCCAAGGATCTCGTCCCTGGACAATTCCGACCGACCTTCGATCACTCTATATCTATATCTTCTTTATCATTGATCTTTCTCGCAGCTTTTCTTTTGGATTTTCGGAAGGAAAACTAATGTTCGGACTCGATATTGTGGCTCTTAATTCACAGACTTTTACCGCGACTCTCATCACCGATTTTATGTTTCAGGCGGCTATGGGAAAATTCTCTTGTTTTGGCATTTCTATTCCTATTGTCGTCCGAAATGAAAAGTATTCGTATTTATTTCTTGTCTGCACTGTTAAACTGCAAGTAACGAGTTGAATGAACTTACAGCATAGATAATTGAAGCGAACGCGAAACGTGTAAATGAAATTTTCCGAATTTCCTGTTCTTCCAGTTCGAGTCAAAGGCGATTCGAAAGATTTCTCGTTTTACACGGAAAAAAAAAGGAAGTGAATCAATAATTTTTCAGCAGCAACTTCTCGACTTCAAGGTTCGTATATTTATGAGAAATGAAATTTTTATATACAGATATGAACAGAGAATACATTTCGAGACTAGCCTACACGTTACATATAATCAACTTGTATTTGCGGTTTTCGTAAATGTGTTCTCGTGTTCGTGTGTATGTGTGTTTGTGTGTGTGTGCGTGCGACGATACAAGCTCACATGGACGCGTCGTTTATTATACATACATATTTATAGATACAGGTGCATGTATCGCAGACGAGATTATTACAAACATTTTGTCAACTTCGTAATCGTTTCAGAAATTCGTCCTTCTTCTTTTTCTTCTTCTTCTTCTTCTTCTTCTTCTTCCATGCTTCGGTACATTCTTAGAATACAACGCAAACAAAAGAGAAACGAGAAGCTTACTTTAATTTAATAAGTGACAACCTCTTTGATTCGCTGAAACGAACACGCAACCTGTTGTGCTATCATGAGTGCTGTTGTACGGTTATAGCACCTGTGTATAATCCTACGAAGTACAATATAATCCATCCGACATCCTATTTCAAGCTTTTAGTTAAACGAAACGTTTCCTGCTAATCCTAATCGCTCCGAACAGTGTGTAAATAATTCATTAAAAGAAAAAAAATATATATATATATCACACGACATGAAGATTGGACAAATTCTTTGTAACAATCCACACGTATGTACATTACGATCGCCTGATTCGTTGACTATCGTGTATACAGACACATAATAATTAACGACTATCGGAGAATGGCTATTTTTCAAACGCAATTTTAGTCGCATGAAAATCATCAAACAACCCTACGTTTGTCATTGACGAACTTCTCCAACGCACCGACGTGTCCGTTTCGTACGTGACCGCTTTCTAGAGATAATATACACTTAGAATTAGTATACTTGCTCGCGACTAGTCTCTGTTTTAATTAACATTCACCGCGTTCATCTAGATATCGTTTATCATATAACAGCGTCCTACTTTCTTCGTTCGCCTGTTCGAGCGTCTCGAGCTACGAACCGTGTAATCATTCCACGATTCCCTACGTTTCAGAACGCTAATTACATTTTATTAATGTCAGACGAATTACACGTAGACGACTATTCTTATAGATGTATAC